GACATCTSAGCACTAGTGGGAGTCCTGAGTTATCTACAAAGATTTGCTAGGGCTCTAGGAGCTCTAGAATAAGAGAAAAAAATGTGGGGACACAGATATGGCAGTTAAGAATTTTTTTTTCTTTTTTGTTAATTATTTAGGTCTTTCAGAGTTGCGCTAAAATAAGTATGTTCATTTTAAACATTTGAACCTCTTGTCCAGTGTAAAGTGMTTGACAAGGATGTATAAAATTCTGCTCTGCTAATTAAGTAGTAGTTTGCAATCACTTTGCCTGCATTTCAAGATCCAGAAAGCAGATATCAAACCCATTGACTTTTCCTAACTAAAATGCCTTTGTATTTTCATAACGGTGCACTGGCAGATTTTTCCACACTCCCACTCAGTCTCATACAAATCACTTTTTTTTTAATCAAAGTCTAATATGAAGTCCACTGAGACTAATGGGACTTCCAGTGACATCAGTAAACTTCATTTCAGRTGTTTATCTGTAGTTAGGTTTGTATTAAAGAGTGAGTGGCCAAATTAGTGACCAAAAGGTCATATCCAGCCCAGATGGCTCCATCCATCTTAATGGAGATGGATTATATCCATTATAGAGCTGAGAACTGGTGCTGTCACTGGATGTCCCAAGGGGAGGGCTTGCAGTGATACCTCCTCACACACATTCACACTGAGGTTGCTACTGCTAACACCACTGCAGCCCAAGAAACTGGAGAATTTCCTGTCTGAGAATAACTGTAATGTTAAATCCTACACGTTTAAAAATAAAACAGGTATTGGATTCCTTCTAAAAGTCTCTTTTTGCTGTGATAGTGTCCATTGCAAGAGACATGTGGAAGAGCCTTGCCAGCCATGGCTGCATCACCTGCCTTGTGGATGTGACATAGAACAGTATCTTGGACATGTCACATGTGAAGTGATGGCATTCCCCGATACCTTAACAAAGACTCTAGCTCATATTAGGAGTAATAGAAAGAAAGCTAGGTAAAAGTCATTACAAATCCTAAAAATGTCAGCATAGAAAGCTGGGTGACATCAGATTTATGGAACCACATTCCATTTCAATAATCACAAGAACAAGGGGTTTCTGTAGTAAGAAAAAGATTCAGTCTCACTCGAAACATTTAAAAAAAAAAGGAAAATATAAGTTTTGTTTTGTAGGGATTTCTCTCCTCAATCTCAGGCATCAAAGAAAAAGCTGTTGGCCTTAAAAGAGGCTACTTGCAATATCCTTGATTCTGTGAATAAAACTTGATAATGTAATGGCTGTCCAGTCCAGCTCACTAATTCCTGTGTTGCATGTGTTTGAGACTACAGAGTTGAATTCACTGCCACTAAAAAGGCTACAGATACCACACAAAAATTGTAAGCAAGTTGTAGAAAACGAAGTCTTCCCCAACACCACCTTAGGAAAAGGTGAATATAAGAAGACTGCCTTGTGTAAAGCTGGAGGAATGACCTTTCCATGAGTCCATAAAAACAAAGACAGAAAAAAAGGTTTTGTCAATATTTCTACTTTTCACACTCACCCTGTGCCTGTACCAAAGGCAGAAGAAAATGATATTCTTATGCCCACTTGTAATCTTGTTTCAATCATGAATAACGCTTCCAGGAAGAAACCTTTAGACAGGGGTGGTGGCTAAAAGATAAGGCTAGATCCTGCTCTAACGACAGTTTTATTGCAGTGTTGCACAATTTCATGGTAGTGTCAGAGATACACGTGAGGGAGCAACAATTTTATGGCACCATCTGTGCCTTTCTTTAATCCCCATGCATATGTGAAGGCCTGTGGAAATAACACCATGATGGCAGTAACAGGAACTGTGTCTCGGCCTTTCAAAGGACATAGGTTTGCCAAGGAGTTAGCAAATACGGTCACTGTTACCCACCCCTTCAAAAGTAAGCTGACGTGTTTGCAAAGAGGAAAAGGAGGCTGCGAGCACTTTGTGGGTTTCATGGGTTGGGCACAAGCCACAAATGCTGAACACAAAGAGCTCCAGGTGGAAGGCAGCAATGCCAGATTTCTTCTTCCCCCTTCTGCTGCACTGAAACATGGCACTGATCTCCTGACTTCTCTTGACCCCCCTTCTGCCATTTAGAAAGTCGTCCTGAAAGGAAATATGAGAGCCCATGGAGCGAGATCTAAAGTGCAAGACTTACCAGAAGGATTCCATCCTTCTGGTAAGATGGATTCTGTGGATGAGAAGGATGAGGGATGCCAAAGCATTGSTTACCTGCAGGCCATGGCCACGAGGCCATGAAACAATCCCCTGAATCCTTATGTTTCTGTTCCACCTACCTGACGTGCCAGGACAGTAGGGGAGGCTAGGGGATATTCCACGTGCCCAGCCAAGGGAGCTGTGAATGGACCTATGTGGCTATCTKCTGTCTCCTCTTCATGAGGACCCTGTGAATTTTTGAGGCCAGACTGAGGTCCACACAGACAAAAGATGAAGTACTTATAGCATGGGCAGTCACAGCTTTAAGCTAGCTTGTGTATACAGTGACACAAGTGATGGAGGCAGCGTTAACAGACTGCAGTGCAGGCTCACACGTTCTTATGTGTTAATCGCTGGTCTCCTGAGGGCTTGTAGTCCAGCATTCTCCCCAAACCTACAGTTTAGGCTGAAAACTAGTGCCTGTGCCACAACTGCACCTTCAACCTGCTGCAAAGGCACCGTGGAAGACTTTGGTGACAGGGCTGTTTTTTGAGCATTAAACTTGGAAGGTTCTCCCGTGAATGCCAGGAGCAGGTCTACCAGGATTATGGCAGCTGGCCAACAGTCTCTGTAACTACCAGTGCCAAACTTACATATGGAGCTGATATTTGAAGAGAATAAAGGCTTTTTTTTTTTTTTACTTATAAAATTATGGGTTTTACTTCACCTATCTTCTCCTAGTATTAACTAGAAATACCAGCATGAACTCTGCTAAAGTGATCTCTGAACAGTGTGACAGAAGTGCTGTCCTTGCAGAAATGGTGTGGATTTGAGGGTCTTTGACTCTGTAAATTTGGGGTAGAAAGGCAGGTTTTTGCTCTGAATAGCCTAGGAAAAGCCTAAGGTGCCTGTCACCTGAGAGTACCGTCATAGGATAAGGTATTGGAACTGGTTAATCAAGGTAAGGCTCTGGAAGATGCAAGTATTTTTTCCCCACTGTGTGCAGAGATTCTAAGAATAACAGAGGAGGAAAAGGCAACAGTTGAAAAATATTTCTTTTAGGATATTGTGTGAATAGTGATAGGGAAAATAAAGTTTGCAGAAAGTGACCGAAGCCTCTTTACCACATAWAGAAGCCCTAATTATGGTAGCTCTTGTCCTAGGCCAGCTTCAGGCCTTTCARTATCAGCTCTTCTCCTTGCTTCCTTGAACAAAATAGAGAAAAGAGGCAAGCTTTACTTTGACCTACCTTTAACAGCTTTAGTGCCAGGAGAAAAAAAAACAGAAATCGCAAACTTACCCTGTCATATAAAGTACAATTTTTAGTGTGGTGACTTAGACATTGCTTAATTCAGCTCTGCTCTAGCAGAAGAGGAAATGATCTGAACAAATAAATAAAATTTGCACCTATCTCCCTCTCAGAAAACAAACAAAACAAAAACAAAAACAAAACAAAAAACCCAAAACATATACATCAAACAATAACAACCTAAGTTTTGGAGTAAAAATAAGTTTGGTGCATTAATACTGACTAAAGAGTCTTCAAACTCTTCAGATTTCAAAGCGCAGAACTTCATCCTGTTTCCAGWTGGACACCCATAACAAAATGATGGACTTAAATTAGTTTGCAGAAGTAGCTGGCAATGTTGCCAACTTTATAAAACTGCCGCTATCTGGGAAAACTCTCCTTCTTACAGAGGTTATGATTCTAAGAGGGAGGCAATAACCTGAGAACAGCTGGCATAATGGGCAGGACAGAGAACAGATGGGTTGCTGCTTTACTACTTGCAGAAGGCTCCTTCTGCAGCCTTTATCATGTTCTGCTTTGGTCTTTTCCTTATCTTCCACRAACTGGATTTTTTACAGTCCTGTTTTACGGAAGGACTTGCGCCTGTCCAGTTTTACAGAAGGAATTGCAAAGATATTACCTTTGCAATCCTGCAAGTGCACATCCTGCTTCGGGACCAAGGGCCCTGTCCGGTCCCAGTTTATCTGTATGCACGTTTTGGGCAATGTGTCCATGTTAACCAAGCAGAAGGGCATCACAAGAGGTAACATGTTTTAGGTATCTTGCTCAGCACGGTGGGCAGAGCAGAGAAGACCCTAACATTTAGTGTAGCAGGGGTTTCTTAGCTGTTATCTCCTACACCAGATATTCTGTCGAGCTAAATGGACTGGCATGGCAGTGCTGAGAAACTGCATATTTAGGCCGTGTTTCACCCCAAAAGGGTTCGCAGGGCAGCAAGGCAGCCGGGGCGCCGCTGCTGCGCGCTCCTCCCCGCGCCGGGGGGCGCTGTGGGCGCCGCGGGCGCCGCTCACGTGGGGCCTCCCCGACACGCGGCCAGGAAGTGGGGAGGGGTAGGGGGTCGCCGCTCCTCGGCGGCGGTGACAGCGGCCCGCCCAGGCCCCGCCCCCCGCCGCGCTCACAGCCAATGAGCGCGCCCGGCCGCTACCGCCGCTGCCGGGTTGCCCGCGGCGTCGCCTGCGCCTTTAAGGAAGCGAGGCGTCCGC